AGTTAGGAGTAATGCGCTGGCTTTCACCCACCCTGCCAGTCAGACAAACTTTAAGAAAACAGTCCTCTTTTTTCTTTTCTTTTTTTAATAAGCAGGAAAGAGAGAAATCGTGGCTCTTTTAAGGCACCTACTATATGAGGATCTCAAAGCACTTTACACCCATCAATGAATTTCAGCTCATGACACCTCTGGAAGGTAGACAAGCATTTTTACCCCAATTTACACAAAGAGAAACTGAGGCAGTGGCAGACTCAGGAATGGAACCCAGCACTCCTGAAGCTCTTTTCTCAACTTTAATCACACAGCCATGACAAAGTGACTTTCTTGTGCTGTTTCAAGGTGCAACATAGAGAGGTAGGTGAATCTTCGCCTTTCTGCTGCTGCTGCAGAAACTCCAAAACCAGAAAGGCTAGCTGAACATGCTGTGCTTGTCAGATAAGAGCCCTTTGGTCCTCTGGGCTGTCTCTTTGGCACCTTTCACGAGCCCCAAATCACGCTATATTAAAATACCAAGTTGCTCGGCCTCTGTTTTTTTTACCTCTGTGATCCCTCTACCCAGAATGATCCCTTCAATCTATAGCCTCACTCCCCTCCTCAAAGGGCAGGAAAAGCATGTGTCTAGTTGTCTATCTAAACCTTTCACAAAGGGACTAGTCAGAGTGATAGATTTTCAGACAAAATGGGGTAAACCTGTCAAGGTGTTGTGATTATTTTCAGTCTCTCTCTCTCTCTCTCTCTATCTCTTTGTGACTGCTCTGTTCTCTCTCATACTTTTAGATTAATTGAGTGAATAATTCTTTTCCTGAAATACAGTGGTGTTGATCTATCCCCCTGGAGCTGTCAGCTCCACATACAGTGAACAGAAAGAGAAAAAGAGAGAAGGGATTTTGTGCAGATAATCATAATATTCATAAAGCCCATAGGAAGCCCACAGAAAACATGAATGATAGACAGGGGTTGAGGAGGTGAACAGCAGTGGGGAAGGATACACAGTAATACACACACACACTTATATATGTGCAAGTAGACATCCAAGCACGCACACAAAGAGGCTGCCACACTCAGAGTTGTACACTTGCAGATGTTCTTTTCTCATGTACACTTCCCCTTAGTACGCTAGTGAGACAAGGTGGTAGAGATACTATCTTTTATTGGACCGACTTCTGTTGGTGAGAGAGGCAAGCTTTAGGGTTAGGGTTGGTCCAATAAAATATATTATTTCACTCACCATGCTTCTTTCACTTCCTGGGACCAGCATAGCTACAGCAACACTGCCAACATGAGGACACAGTCAGGTATATCTCCTGTGGAGATGTGTGGTGGGAACTCAGGAGCGGGAGCTATGAAAACAAGGGATTTCCTCTCTGGTAAATGGCAGAACAAACTGAAAAAAATTCTCTCAAGCGGATAGCAAACAAGCAAATGATCTTAATATAAATGTTTGTAATTTGGAAAGGGGGCCTTTGTTGATCTGCAAATTCCCACATAAAAGATCCAATTGCTCTCACAGCACATATGCATAGCAGAAAGGCACAGTCTTGTAAAGACCGTGTGGCTGGTACACGTATTCTACTTCTCTAGACTGGATAAATCAGAACTTGTCATCTACAACGCTAGAACTAAGATCCTCCTCTAGCTAAATTTTGCAGGAGGGGCAGAGGTCTATCCCTGCGGTAGTTAAGTTCCCAGTAGCCACAGTATCAGCATGTGAAGTCCTCAGCAGCTCTGGATTTGTTACACTGTAGTTTTGTTTGACTGAAAGTTGCTGGAACAGTCAGTCTCCTTGCCCGGTGTCACTGAGAAGAACAACTAGTCCTCGGGAAATGGAGGAGTTCATACTTTTGTATGTTTTTGTAAGTTTCACCCTCCAAAGTTTGCAGAGAGCAATTTCTAACCAAGATGAGCCCAGTTCCTATCCGTTTGGCCAGGGGTTTTAGCTTACCTGATAGAACTACCACTTATAGTTTCTCCCAAGGAGTATTGGTGATAACTTGGCTGTGGTAACAAGTGGGACACACCAGCACTGGATGACCAGGGGTTCCAGCTATTTGGTTATTCCCACTATGTCCAGTTGAATCAGCTATCCTGAACCTCAACATAGCATGCACAGTTCCAGAATCTTGTCTGCTTCAGCAGTTCTCCTGCCACAGGCCTGCTCCTTGACAAGGACCTCTCAATTCCTGATGTCTCTAGCCTTGGCATCACCTTGTATTGATGTTTCCCCCCTACAAAGTGATGCAACACACACACACCTAGTGCAAGGGAATACTGGGCTGAGGCAAACCCCCTGCCCAGGAAAAAACCCTCTGTCTGTGTGGCCAATGCTAATAATTCAAATTTTGCATACATACCCCTTTTGAAATGGAATCTTTCAGAAACACAGGTAATTTCAGGAGGGGTATCTGCAGAATCCCTCAGATTCTTAATCCTGCAGTTTGATTTCATACCCTTCTCCTGCCACCCTGTCCTTCACCTCCTCAGACTGTCTCTACTGGTGGTACCCCATATGTGACACTGGAGGGAAGCTGGGCTGCACTGGAAGAATGCATCACCTGATGTCATAATCTTTATAGTGTGACAGTAGGACAGGTTACCATGGAGACTGAGGGGGATGTCACAGAGAATGAGGAGCCAGGAACAGGTTAACTGACAGGAAACCTGGATCATGTTTGCTACACGTTGGGAGGCAAGCCAGTCCTCGCTTACAGACAGCCCCTCCCCCCCAAATTGAGGCAAATACCAGCAGCTTCACACTCCACAACAGAAACACAAATCCAGGAACCTATCCCTGCAACGAACTCCGCTGCCAACTCTGTCCACACATCTACCCTAGTGAACAACATCACAGGATCTAACTACATCAGATATATCATCAAAGGCTCATTCAAGTGCACATCTACTAGCGTGGTATATGCCATCCTGTGTCAACAATGCCCCTCTGCCATGTACATCAGACAAACTAGACTGCCTCTAAACAAAAGAATAAATGGCCACAAATCAGACATAAACAGCAACATCCAAAAGTCATTGGGTAACCTCCCTGGGCACATAGTTTTGGACTTGCAAGTTGCTATTCTCAGACAGAAGAATTTCAAAAACAGATTGCATAGAGAAACTGCTGAGCTGAAATGCAAATTTGACACCCTGAACCAAAGTCTAAATAAAACACACGGAGCGGTTCTCACATTACAATAGGTAATTTCCCATTCAGATACTCTCACCCTCTCACCACTGTTGGAGATGAGCCATGTTCTGATTTAATTAGCACTGTTGTCACACTCCTATCTCTGTATCTTTTTTTTTTCTTTCTTTTTCTCTTCGGCATCTGAGGAAGTGAGCTGTAGCCCATGAAAGCTTATGTTCCACTAGCCTAATAAATTTGTTAGTCTTTAAAGTGCTACCGAACTCCTTGTTGTCTTAGTAACAAAAAAGAGTTTTCCAAGCTCCTGGCTCACCTAGCACCCACACGCTACCAGCAATGAGCCTGACCCTCACAGGGATCAGGATTTCAAAGCTGACCCTGTTCAGACACTAGACCAAAATTCAGGGGAAAGGAGGGCCAGCTGGGACATCTGAATTCACATCTCTATTTCTATAATGGGTCTGAACAATTATCCTGGTCCAGTGGCAAGGGCAGAATTTCAGGAGGGCAGGGGGGCAGCAGCTCTGTATACCAGGACACAGCTTGCTTTTCATCTCATTCTCTGGACTATCAGGGAGCGATGGGAAAGTACTTACATTCTGTGATTTACTGCTTTGCTCCCTCCCTTCACCAGCAAGGTGTGAGAGGTATGCACGGAATGCACCTCACTATCTGACAGTCCCGAGAATGGGATGAAAAGCAAGCAGTGTCCTGATGCACACAGCTGCAGGCCCCTTGCCCTCCTGAAACTCTGTCCTTGTTCAGTGGCTCCTATACACTGGGAGAAAGGATTAAAATCTGAAGCTGGATCAAATTTCATAGCTTTCACCTAAAACTTTGGACCTGAACGAAGGGAAGTTTGTGTCTACATCTGAACTTTGAGGCTTGAACCAGTATTTCCCCTATTTTTTTTCCATTCACGGGTGGAATAAATTTTGTTATATACACCAAGGCATGAACAGATGCGTACCACAAGTAGAAACACATGCTGTGGGGTGTGAGCGCTTTGCTAATCAGCTGGATGGCAACTGAATCTCTCCTGAGCGGCTGCCTAAGCACTCAACTTTCAAGGAAGATTGGTTTGGACCCATCACGTGCTCCCAACTATTCGAAAGAGTTTGGGAAATGATGTTGATCACAATACACTGCAGGTCTTTTAATTCAGCGACAGCAGGGTCACACTAGGGCCAGCCAAGACATCCATCACCTTCTCCCCTAATCCTCCCCTTGTCATAGCCCAGCTTGACAAGAAAGAATGGGCCTGATTATATATTCCAATTTAGCTTCTCTCGGCATCTTGTACTCTCTGTTGTTTTATCGTAATTGCTGCTTGTGTCTTCAGGTCGAGAGGCAATCAAGCAAAGCCCACAGCCCAACAAAAGCCCATACCAGGATTTGAACACTCTCTCCTTCCATCCCCTTCACGTAAATGGCAGCTCACCTCCACCACTGAACAGATGTTACTTGGCCTTCGGTTGTGGGTGGGTGAGTGCAGGAAGGAATTAGGGAGCTGAAACTATTGCTAAATCAGTGGGAAACCCCTGAGCTGTGAAGGGATTTGAGCAGACCTGTCAAGATAATTGAATTTATACAGTAATGCCTCTCCACCCGGTGACTACATTCCCCTGCAAGGTTTCCTGTGCAACATTTCTCAGAAAAGGAGGGGGAACAGTGCTACCACCAAAAAATATTATTGCCCAAGGCAGGCATAGGTGGCAAAAGAATGGTGAATGATCACCATGGCATAGGGAATGGTAGAAGAGTGCACAAGTTGTAGGAGTTCATAACTACTTCCAGTTCAAGCCACTCTCATGGGGCAGGAACACTGGCTGGGGGAGAAGTTGCTGTGGGGAATGGAGTGGGAGCACTGGCTGGGGGGCTGGGGGCGTATCACTGAAGGGATGCTGGAACTATTTATAGGGTGGGAGTGCTGACTGTCCCCCCCCCCACACACACACACACGGCTGTCTGTCCTCTTCACTGTCCCAGGCTGGGGTCACGCCTGGGTTGCCAACTCTCCTGGACCAGACACCATTGCCGCAAATGGTGTCTAGTCCATCAGGTCCAGAAGAGTTTGCAACTTAGCTGCAGCTGGAGGCAGCTGTGGATCCCTGGGCCAGCAGCAAGACCCCAAGCAGCAGCACAGCCTCCAGGGCTGGTGGACTGGACCCAGGGGACGGTGGCCATCAGACTCCTGGATGGGCCCCTGGAGGCCAGGATTTGGGGCTGGGCAAGCGGAATCCGGGAAGAAATGTGGGGGTGCTGCACCCCTGCACCCATCCTTCTCACTCCTATGGACAGGGTGGGTGCACTGGCTGTGGGAGGAGTCACTGTAGGAAATGGGGCGGGAGCACTGGCTGGAGGTGGTGCTGCATGGACTGTGAAGGACAGAGGTGCTGCCTGAAATGGGAACGAAAGGAGTTAAGACAGGAAAGCCTTATGCAAAGGACTGTCTGACCCCTATCCGCTGACTGAGATGGGCTTTCAGATCCCTATCCACAGAGCTGCTGACATGACTTCTCAGGCATGCAGCATTAATTAGTGGGGGTTTGGCGTAGTGCGTAAAAAATCCATTGTGACATCTCCAAGGCAGGGCCAGCGGCTCTCGTCAAGGAAAGTTACTTCAATTCTTCTTGTGCTTTATATACCCAGGAAGGAGCCAGTTAGTCATTTTGAGAAGCAGAGGGGGCAATGAAGGGTGAAAACAGAAAAAGGAAAAGGTGGGCAGAGGTGAAACACAGTTTTTGCCCTGTGCATTTCAGCTGTCAAAATCAATATGATATTTGCTCCACAGAATTCCAAAATAACTGGCCTCAGTAGTTTCAGATGTACTCTCCACTATGGCTCTGTCTCACTCCCCCTTGCTCCAGTTTACTCTCTTTCTTATCCTTAGGCTGCTTTCTTTTCAGCTCCCTGTCTCATGGCTCTTTGCATCTTCCTTCCTTTCCCTGTCTCCTCCTCTCTCCCCTCCTTCACAATCTTCTTTTACTCTTCCATCTTCATAACTCACTCTCCCCTTTTTCCTTCTATTCTCTTTCCACTCTCTACTTTCCCCGTCTCTCTCTATTCCTGCCTCTTCTCCCTTTCCCTGTTCTGTGTTGACAGTAATATTACAGTAATATTACCCTACATCTGAGAAAGTCTGTCTGTTTAGTCCCACTGCATAGGGGGGTAAGCAGTATGTCAAGAGATCATCTTAGCTTAACCAGGAGATCATCAATGATCCAAAACTTAAAAGAACAAAAAACAAAAAAACAAAAAAAGGAGTGCTACAAAAAGTGGAAACTGGATCAAATTACAAAGGATAAATATAAAAAATGAACACAAGTAAGAAGGGACAAAATTAGAAAGGCCAAGGTACAAAATGAGATTCAACTAGTTGGAGACATAAAGGGGAACAAGAAAACATTCTACAAATATATTAGAAGCAAGAAGATGGCCAAAGATAGGACGGGATGTTACTCAATGGGGAGGGAGTGGAGAATAAAAACAGAAAATATGGAAACAGCAGAAGTGCTAAATGATCTTTTTATTTTGGTTTTCACCAAAAAGGTTAGTAGTGATTGGACATCTAACTTACTGAATGCCAATGCAAATGAAGTAGGATCACAGGCTAAAATAGGAAAAGAATAAGATAAAATTATTTAGACAGTTAGAGGTTTTCAAATCACCAGGTTCTCATGAAATACATCCTAGACTACTCAAGGAACTGAAGAGTTATCTGAGCTATTAGCAATTATCTTCAGAAAGTCATAGAAGACAGGAGGGGTTCCAGAGGACTGCAAAAGGCAGTGCCCAGCTATAAAAAGGGGAATAAGGATAGTCCAGGGAATTATAGACCAGTCAGTTTAACTTCTGTGCCAGGAAAGATAATGGACCAAATAATTAAGCAATCAGTTGCAAACACCTAAAAGATAATAAGGTGATAAGTAACAGTCAGCATAGATTTGTCAAGAACAAGTCCTGTCAA